GGGACTCGATCCCGGGACTCCAGGATCATGACCTGAGCCAAAGGCAGTTGCTTAACCAACTGAGCCACCCAGGCGCCCGATACCACAGTGCTTTCTTGATCTAGAATTCAGGCTGGAATCCAACTTAACTTCTCCATCCTTATTTCTTCATTCTTCATTCACCTTGCAGCTCATCCAAACTACTTCTCTTTGTTTATGCTTTGAAGTTCTCATTTCCGTGCCTTTGATCATGCTTCACCCTCTGCCCGGAAAGGGCTCTTCCTTGCCCCCTCATTGTCACTTCTCTCACACTCGTTCTTCAAGAGCCAACTCAGATCTCAGTTTCTGCCATGAAACCCTTTCCCGTGTAACCATGTCTTACCCGGTGGTCAGTTATAAGTAGTGTCTCCTTTCTCTAAAATTATATGGTGATTATCCATATTTTCAAATGACGTAGGACGTCATTTCTTGAGAAGAGTTCATCATGGACACCCCTTTCATGGCCCGACACGCTGACTGGAAAGTGATAACAGAGTCTGCTGCTCCTTCCTCAGCTGTCATTTCTAATTTTTGTGCCCATGACTCCTGACCACTCTTCCTTGTTCTTCTTTTATCTCCTTGCACCGTTTCCAGCTTTTTTTTATTTTTATTTTTATTTATTTATTTGACAGAGACACAGTGAGAGAGGGAACACAAGCAGGGGGAGAGGGAGAAGCAGGCTTCCTGCTGAGCAGGGAGCCTGACGCTGGGCTCGATCCTAGGACCCTGGGATCATGACCTGAGCCGAAGTCAGATGCCCGACTGAGCCACCCAGGCGCCCCTGTTTCCAGCTTCTTATGCAGTTACTGGCCTTCTACCGTAAACATCAAAGTAATAGAGCCAGAACTCTCTCTTTCCATGAAACACACTGAAACAACACAGGCTGTGGCTATGACATGTACATCGTAGACTATATTTATTTGCTACTGGTATTCAGAAGTCAGTTATTAGTTGCACTTAGTCTTTCAGTCCTTTCTCTCTTTTCTAAAAGGAATTTAAAATAATAGGTACTTTTAAATGCAGAGACATTGTGGGATATCACTGAAGCTTCTAAAATGCTAGTGTTTGGATAGTGTTACATAATTACAGATGATTTGATATTTCCATCTTCAGAAGAAAATTTATGACTTAAAATTTTTTTTAAAATCATCAATAAAAATGTATCTTCTAATGAAAAAAATAATTGTAACATCTACAGCAGGTGTCTAAACCTAGCATCCATGGATTCACAGGCAGTATAGGAATGTCCTTCAGGAAGTACATGAACTTATAAGCAAAGTGTTATGTTTATGTTATGTTTTTTTTTTCTCAGCTTTAATCAGATTTCGCAGGGCTCTGTGATCCACAAAAAGGTTGAGAGAGTGCCTAATATTTAATGAAATCAGAATCAAAATTCTAAGAACATTTTATATGCTTATTGATGAAAGTAATATATTTTTTAATAAAGAATGTTTACATGCATCTACCAAAATTAAAACAGTAGGCACTTTGTCACTGTAAGGTCGAAGGTTCATATTTCTAACAGATCTTTTTTCCTAGGGAATATCTGAAACAGAGAGAGAAAGAAAAACATGAAGTGATTAAGAACTTGAAGAATATCAGCAGTGGCAACTTGTGTCCTGTTTTAAAGCGCACCATCCCTTTTGGTGTTGCTTATCACCATAGTGGTTTAACGAGTGATGAAAGGAAGCTCTTGGAGGAAGCCTATTCCACAGGAGTTCTGTGCCTTTTTACCTGCACATCCACCCTAGCAGCAGGTGTTAATCTACCAGCTCGAAGGTAAGACAGAAGTAGCTTTTGGCCAGGCTCAAAACTTTTTAATTTTTAGCTTGCCAGGAGTTTTGTTGTTTTATTCTTTCTCAGTAGTGGATGAGAATTTATCAGATGTTTTTTCATCATTTGCTGAATTGATTGGTTTGTTTCCTTCATTCTATTTATTTATTTTTTAAGATTTATTTACTTATTTGATAGTGAGGGGGAGAGCAGAGGGAGAGGGAGGGCGAGTCTCAAGCATACTCCTCACACAACACTGAGCCCAATGCGGGACTCCATCTCATGACCCTGAGATCACGACCTGAGCCAAAACCAAGAGTCGGCTGCCTAACCAGCTGTGCCACCCAGGTGTCCCTCATTTGTTTCCTTTAATATTTTAATGAAAAATAACGTTAGGGTGCCTGGGTGGCTCAGTCGTTAAGCGTCTGCCTTGGGCTCAGTTCCTGATCCCAGGGTCCTGGGATCAAGGCCCGCATCAGGCTCCCTGCTCAGCGGGAAGCCTGCTTCTCCCTCTCCCACTCCCCCTTCTGTTCCCTCTCTCGCTGTCTCTCTTTCTGTCAAATAAATAAATAAAATCTTAAAAAGAAAAAAAAAAGAAAAGAAAAACAACTTGAGTAGATTTCCTGGTATTAAAATTCTTTCTTTGGTACTCTTTCTCTCTCTGGTTTTGATGTTAGGGTTTATTTTTCTAGTTGTAAACAGTTGGCAAGCTTTCTACCAATTTTTATGATCTGAAAGAGTTTATTTAACATAGGTATTTCCTTGAAAACTTAGAGAACTCATCCATAAAGACTTCTGAGTCTAGTATCTTTTTCCAGAGTAGATCTTTATTTTTTCAGTTATTACCAAAGCTATGGACCTATATAATTTATGTCTGCTCTTTATAATTTTTATTTAAAAATTTGACTTTAAAATTTATGACATTTTTTTGAAATACATGGGTGATTTTTAAAAATCGTCCTCCACATTAAAAAACATATGTATTTTCTGTTGGGTATGTATTTTTCTACATCTCCATGAGATCACAGTTAATCGTGTTATCAGCTCCCTTGATTTTCTTAATATTTGTGATTCTTCGATTTGTCAATTTCAGAGAGTTGTGTTAGTCTCCCACTGTTATTATGGAATTGTCTTTCTCCTTTTTGCATTTCTAGAAGTTCTTGCTTTGTATTTCAAAACTCTTTAGGTATACAAAGGTTCATTTCAAATATCCTACTGCTGAATCATACCTTTTATCAGTATAATAGGTCCTTGTTTTTCTCACTGAGTGATTTCACTTTGAACACTAGGATTACATTTTCTTTGCCAAGTATACCTTTTTCCATTCTTTTATTTTCAACCTCTGTCATGGATTAAATTTTCCATTTTTCAGACAAAGTTATGTATCATATTTCCCTTATCCCAGTTGTTGCTCTTAATTCTTTTTTTTTTTTTTGAAAAAATTTTATTTATTTGAGAGAGAGAATGAGAGAGAGAGCACGAGAGGGAAGAGGGTCAGAGGGAGAAGCAGACTCTCTGCCGAGCAGGGAGCCCGATGTGGGACTCGATCCCGGGACTCCAGGATCATGACCTGAGCCGAAGGCAGTCGCTTAACCGACTGAGCCACCCAGGCGCCCCCTGTTGCTCTTAATTCTAACAGTTATAATCAAACATGCTTTTCTGCCATTTTAGAATTAATCAATGACTGTTTCCCCTCATGAACATAACAAGAGTCTTAGCACTTGTGTATTCTCCTATACTGCCTCATGCATGTTGCAGCTACCTAGAATTTTAATGCCAGATTTTTATTTTCTTTCATCTTATATTCCATAATTATTTAAACCTTCCTGTAAATTATACTTGTTTTCTTTGTTTACCACTGCCTCTTGTATCCCACGTCTTCCTTCTATGATTTACTTTTTTATTTTGCTACACTCGAGTAATTTTTTTTTAAGATTTTATTTATTTGTTTGATAGAGTGAGCATGAACGGGGGCAGGGGCAGAGGGAGAGGAACAAGCAGACTCCGCGCTGAGTGCAGAGCCCAACGCGGGGCTCAATCCCAGGACCCTGAGATCATGACCTGAACCAAAGTCAGACACTTAACTGATTGAGCCACCCAGGTGCCCTCCAATTAGAATTTTTGAAAGTTCTTACTGTTCCCTGTTTCTGTCAGACATTTATTCTCTATAGTCTTGCTTTTCTTTTATGCCCTTAGTTTTCTTCAAGTGTAATTTTGGCTCTCTATTGAGGTAAAGAGTAGGTTGATTGGCAGATAAATGACATAGGTTTCCTCTCACTTTTGAACAGGAAAGCTGGTTACAGCTTTCTATCTACATGAGCAGGATTGAAATTACCATAATTTGAAATTACCAAAAAGAGTTGAAACCTGCAATGTTATATAGTTGACAGTAATATAAATTAATAAATAAATATGCATATGTTGGCGATACATGGTCAGATTTTTCATTTATGGGGTGTAGAATCAGTCTTGGAGACTGTTGCTCTAGTAACAATCAAGCTCTGTAGGTAGGCCAACACGTTCAAAGCATGGTCCTGGTAATTACTAGTTTTGTGTGTTGAGGTGAGCCACTTAGTTTGTCTGTGCTTCAGTTAGCCCTTTTGTAAAAAATAGGTAAAATAATAAAGAACATTATTACCAAGAATTTTGTAAGAATTACTGATAATGTACGCAAAGAATCTAGGACATCACCGGTTCTTGTTAAATAGCAGTTACTTATTATTTTGAGTTAACATGTCATTAAATTTAGTATCACATATATAATGGAATTAAGAATTTAAAAAATAGATATTATTATAGATGTAGTATCACTTTTAATTAATATTATCAATTCCATAGAGTTATTTTAAGAGCTCCCTATGTTGCTAAGGAATTTTTAAAGAGGAATCAATATAAGCAGATGATTGGCAGAGCTGGCCGTGCTGGAATAGATTCTGTTGGGGAGAGTATCCTTATACTGCAAGAAAAAGACAAGCAACAGGTAATCATCTGGTTGTTGGTTTGTTGTTTTATCTTTTTTTGGTCTTTGATCTAGCCCTTCTATGATATCATCTTTTAAAAATTAATTGTTAATATTTCTTTCAATAATGTTTTTTTCTCCTCTACGATTAGGAATTAGAAAGGATAGTTTGAATATTTCTGTAGTTCAGACAAGCAATGAAAAGTATTTTCCTTATTTATCTTTCTTCCATTTTCATGAGAACACCTGCTAAATTCTTATTTGTCTTTATGTCCTTAACACCCCCTGCTTCCACAAGGTCTATACAGAATATAAAATTTTATATGGAACACTTAATTTTTTTTATAACAACACAAAACATAATATTGCTTTAACTTTTGTAGGTATTGGAGTTAATAAGCAGACCACTGGAAAATTGTTATAGCCATCTTGTTCAAGAATTCACCAAGGGAATCCAAACTTTGTTTCTCTCTTTGATTGGTTTGAAGGTATTTTTCATTATTTTTAAGTCTTGTTACCATTACCTGAGATAATAGAGATTTAAAAGTTATGAGAACTGTAAGTATAAAAAAAAATGCTAACTTCTAATCTAATGTGGAAAAGAGTAATCTGACATGATAAATCTGAATATAGATTTCTATGTCCATTTTAATGCTTTGAGTTGTATGAAATATGAAAAATCAACAAATCATAACTGGGCATTATTACAAGTGAGAGACTTTTTGGATACTCTGGAGGATATAAGAAGCTGTAAGGGCATAGGTCCTGATGTGGGATAATCCATCTTCTCTGCCCTTGTTAAGAATAAGGTTCACCTGTAGTACTGTGATCATTCTAGGATATTATAAACATTTGTGAGATCAGTATAGCCTTTATCAGGCAGAAAATTAAAAAAGAAAAAAGCACAGCAGGAAAACACTTTTTCTTAGAAATTAGCTCTTTCTTTTAGGATTACTCTTGAGTTAAACTTCTTTTTATGGTTATTCTTTTTTTTTCTAAGATTTATTTATTTTAGAGAGAGAGAGAGTGCAAGCTGGGGGAGGGGCAGAGGGAGAGAGACTCTCAAGCAGACTCCCCACTGAGCCCAGAGCCCAACGTGGGGCTTGGCTCAGGGCTTGGCTCGGGGCTCGATCCCATGACCTTGAGATCATGATCTGAGCTAAAATCAAGAGTCAGACACTTACCAACTGAGCCACCCAGGCACCTCTATGGTTATTCTTAAGTAAATTTTAATTTTGTGTCCAAGGTCACTAGGCCATAAAGTGGCAAAGCCAGGGTTTGAATTTGTTGTTCCACTACAAAACCAGTGCTCTTAACCTATCATGCACTACCTTCATTAACCCTACCAGTTTACATGAAAATACAGAAGGTAATTAATAAATAAAAAATACCATAAAATAAGTTGTAGATAAGCAGAGGGAAAGAATAAGTCATTTCAGGTACTTAACATAGAATTAATGATGAGAAAGCTGAAGAAAGTCAACAGACTAGATTCTATAGCTCTAGAGGAGGGCTGCAGATCATGAAGAGTTGAAAGTTGGGTGGGAAAAGTTAGGCCAGACTGTGTGCTGTAAATTGGGGAAAATGGGAGAACATGCCTAAGTAGTAGACTACAGAGTTGCAACACTGTCACTTATCAGTGGAGAATTAGTGATGTGTGGTGGTTGAGAGTAAAAGCTCTGATATCACGCATACCTATTGTCAGTCCTAACTCTGTCTCTTAACACTCTACATAAGTTATTAGCTCTCTCTTAAATCTCACTCAGTTGCTTTATCTGTAAAATGGAGATAATAGTAAGCAGAAGTATTGCAAGACTTTTTAGAAGCAATTGTAGTAATCCATGTATAATGTAATAAAGATCTGGAATAGGAGGGTTGCCAAGGAATTAGTAAAGGAGGGAGAGCTCATGAAGATCATCGAGTCCTCTATTACATTTATATATTAGATAAGGTAACAGACTCAGAGAATTGGTGAGTAGTCTAAGATCATTCAGTGAGTTATGGTTTAGATGGGACTATAATTTAGGTTCCTGCCTTGCTGGCCCATACTCTTTCCAGTGTACCATTGTATGTGTGGACTATTCCTCAACTGCACATGAAATATTTCACCAGCATAGACCATAGACAACACAGACCATATTCTCAGACCATAGACAAGTCTCAATACGTTTAAAAGGATTGAACTCAAATACGGTATGGTGTCTAATGGAAACGATTATAGTATACCAGCAGTAATAGAAGGATATCAGGGAATTACCCAAATATTTGAAAATTAAATAGCGTACTTTGACCAAAGGACAAAGTAGAAATCACAAGGGATATTAGAAATATTTTGAATGGAATGAAAATGAAAACAGAGATATCAGAATTACTGGCATGAAGCCAAAGAAATGCTTAAAAGGACATTTATAACTTTAAATACGTATTAGAATACAAGAAAGATCCAGATTCACTAGTTTAACTTTTACTTTAGGAACCAGGATGAGGGGGACTCAAAGTAGAAAGAAGGAAATAATACAAATAAAAACAGAAATGAAAAAAACATAGACGAGAAAAATATAATGAAACTGCAAGCTAGTTCTTTGAAAAGATCAGTAAGATTATTGACTGATTTGATCAGAGGGAAAAGAGAAAATACATCAATTACCATACCATCAGGAATGAAAGGAGGGTCATCACTAAAGATCCTAGAGATATTAAAGGGATAGTAAGGAATAATCCTTGAAAAACTATCCTTGAATGCTGAAAAATTCAACTACTTAGATGAAATGGGGAAAATTCTTGAAAGACATAATTTACAAAATTGACTGAAGAAGAAGTAGAAAGTCTAGTCCTAGATCTATTAAAGAAATTGAATTTATGGGGCACGTGGGTGGCTCAGTCGGTTGAGCGTCTGCCTTTGGCTCGGGTCATGATCCCAGGGTCCTGGGATCAAGCTGCATCGGGCTCTCTGCTCAGTGCTCTCTTTCCCTCTCTCAAATAAATAACTAAATAAATCTTTAAAAAAAAAAAGAAAGAAAGAAAGAAAGAAAGAAATTGAATTTATAACTTAAAACTTCCCACAAAGAAAACTCCAGGCCCACTGACTTCACTGGTGAACTCTGTCAAACATTTAAGGAAGAAATAATACCAATCATACACATATTCTTCCAGAAAGTAGAGGAAGAGGGAATACTGCTTATCTCATGAGACCAGCATTATTCTGATACCAAAATCGACAAAGGTATTACAAGAAGAGAAAACTACAGGCCAGTATCTGTGGTAAAAATAGATATAAAAGTCCTTATCAAAGTATTAGTAATCCAGCAACATAATCAGAGTTTATGCCAGTAATGCAAAGTTAATTTAACATTCAAAATTCAGTTTTACTATTTATTTGACAGAATTCAACAGCCATTCATGATAAAAACTCAGCAAACTAGGAGTAGAAGAGAATGTGTTCAACCTGATAAAGGGTGTTTATTTAAAAAAAAACAAAACACTACAGGTAACATCACACTTAATGGTGAAAGACTACATGTTTTTCCATCTAAGATCAGGAAAAGAAAGGAGGTCTGCTCTCACCCTACTTTTCAGCATATATCGGAAATCATAGCCAGTACAAGACAGGAAGAAAAATGAGGGCATATAGATTAGAAAGGAAGAAGTAAACCGTCTTATTTGCTGTTAGGTTCAAGAAAAATCCAAAGGAATGTAGAAAAAAACTAGAGTGTAATCATCAATGTCATAGGATACAGGGTCAATGTACAAAACTCAGTTGTATCTGTATACTCACTACAAATAATATACTGACTACAAATAGGTGGAAAAACAACTCCACAATAGCATCAAAAAATATGCAATATTTAGGGATAAATTTAACTAATATGTGTCAGATCTATACACTGAAAACTGTAAAACTGTTGAGAAAAATTAAAGGAGACCTAAATAGATGGAGAGAGGTACCATGTTCAAGAATTAGAACACTCAGTTTTGGCCAGATGTTACTTACCAAATTGGTCTATGAATTTAATGCAATCTCAGTCAAAATCTCAACAGACTTGTTTGTGGAAATTGAAGGCTGATAGAATTTATTTGGAAATGCAAAGGAGTAGAATAGCCAAAATTAATTTTGTGAAAATATAACAGAGTGTTCATCCTACTTCAAGACTTACTGTAAAGCTTCAGTAATCAAGACAGTGTAGGGATATTGGCGCAAGGATCATATAGACCAGTAGATCAGTAAGTCCAGAATTAGGCCCACACATATATGATCAATTTAAAAAAATAATAATAATCTCTACACTCAACATGGGGCTCAAACTCAGGACCCCGAAATCATGCTCCACCAACTGAGCCAGCCAGGTATCCCTATATATGATCAATTTTTAACAAAAGGTGTCAAGATATTTAAATGGACAAAAGATAGTTTTTTTCAATAAATGGTGCTGGAACAACTAGATAGCTATATAGAACAACAACAAAAAATTAACCTGTGCTCTTACTTCTCTCGATTTTGTCCAAAATAATTAATTCAAAATGGACCATAGACCTAAACCTAAAAGCTAAAATATAACTTCTAGAAGAACATATGGGGAAAATTTTTTGTTACCTTGGATAAGATTTCTTATGTGGCAAACAAAAAACATAAACCATGAAGAGAAAAATCAATCAAATAGACTTAATCATAATTTTAAAAATTATCTTCAAAAGACATTGCTAAAAAAGTGAGAAGGCATGAAGGAAATATTCCTAATACATATATCTGACAAATATGTAGATGAGTTAGGACTCAGCATAAGGTAGTGGAATTGGGAGGGAGTTGGGACTTCACTTAAGATGGGAGCACTCAGGTAACAGGGAGACTGGGAGAACTGACTTGGCCACAGGGGTGTGGTTTTATGGGCCTGGCAGTGCAAGATCTACGGAGCACAACAGTTGCGTTTAGATTCTGTTTTAACCGTTGAAGTACAGCAACGAGAAGTCCAGGCAGCAGCTGGTGCAGGAGATTAGCAGGTAGGCAGCTGTTGTTCCCAGCTGCCCATAGGAGGCAGAACTCAGGAAACTGGACCCAACCATGAGAAGGCCAGGCCATCAGGGTTCCTCTCTCACCTTGGATTAAGGGCTTACAACGGGGCTCTAGCTGTGGAAGAAGGCTGGAACTCTAGACACAGTGGAGAACAGGAAGACCTTTAGAGTTGGAATTGAAGCAGCAGTCAAGTCCTCTGGACGGGAACAAGCAGGTGGAAGAGAGGGGAGAAGCAAGAAGGGCAGAGTCTGTGACTTGGGCAGTGAGGTCCGGGGCAGGAGGATACAGATGAGCATCCCTGGAGAGACTAAGTCCCTGCTTTGGTGGAAGAGAAGGAAACTCTGGGAATTAATGAGAGGACATAGCAGTGCTTGGGCCATAAGATTCAGGGAGCCTCCAGTTATCATGTATTTATCACAACATATTTCCGACACCCTGTAAGACACTTTATGTGTTTTATCTCTGATCCTTGCATACCTTCGAATTAAGTAATGTAACTCCCCTTTTACAGAGAGAATCTGAGGCAAAGAGAGGCAGGTGTTCTGTAGGCTGCTTGCAATCTTATCCCCATGCCTGCGCACTGGGGTCCATGCTCCTGCAGGCTCCTGTCTGGGTCAGTGTGATTGTCCCCTAACTGGTCTGACTGCCTTGCAGCCATTCTGCCGTGCCTTCCCACATCCCCTCCAAATACTTGTTCACACAGATTGATCTTGTCAAAATGTAAACTCAGAATGTGCTACCTGCTTAAAATTTGTCAGTGGTGTTTCCCATTGCTTTTAGGATTTAGGAAGCCCAAATTCCTTGTCATGGTCTACCATGGTAGATTTGGCCTCTGCCTGTCTCCATCCTCCCCTCTCACCAGCCTCCTTGCACTCTGCACTCCAGGAGAGCCAAGAGCCTTCTCGGTTCTCAAATATGTGATGCTCCCTCCCATCCCAGTGCTCACTAAGCCTGGGACTCGCCCATCTTCCCCACCCCATCTCTCTACTCACCCTCACCCACTCGACCTTGAGGCTTCACTTAAACATCGTTCCTCGGGGAAGCCTCCCTGTGCCTCTGAGTCAAGTCAGTTTATTGTATGCTTTATAGAACCACATTGCTTTAGTAGAACCTATCAGTTTGTAATTATATTCTGGTTAGTGCAGTGATTCCCCACAGGAATGTAAGCCCTGTGCAAGCAGAGTCCACATTTATTTTTATTTGTCCCTGAATCCCAGTGCCTAACACAATGCCTGGCATGTGGTTGGTGCTCTGTAAATACTTGAATGAACGAATGAATTGATTTTGGAGTCGGGCATGGGTGAACCTGCAGGTTGGGGCAACAGTGGAGAATCCAGCTTTGAGAAGTTGTGGAGGCCAGAGGCAGAGCCCGGACCAGTGGGTCTAAATCACTATGTCTGTAAGTTTTTCACAGAGGGATAGAAAGATAACATGATGGTAGCTAGAAGGATCAAGTAAAGGATATTTTTTTTATAACCCCGATGTTAACTGTAATCAACCAAGTAGAAAACAATACAGCAACTAAGTTCATTGATAATCTACAAACTGAGTATCAGTCTTGAATATCTTAAAACTACAATTTTGGCCTAACTGAATATTACATTAAGAATGAGTTTTGGGGCCTCTGGGTGCCTCAGTCAGTTAAGCATCCAACTCTGGATCTCGGCTCAGGTCATGATCTCAGTCGTGAGATCAAGCCCAGCATTGGACTCCACACTGAGTGTGGAGCCTGCTTAAGAATCTCTCCCTCTCCCTCTGCTCCACCCCCCACTCTTGTGCTCTCTCTCAAAAATAATAATAATAAATAAATAAATATTAGAACATTTCCCAAAAAGTGAGTTTTATTAAAAGGAGGAATAACAATAGGAAATGTCTATGCCTCATTATATTTTTTTGTTAACCCTTATATCGGTTTAGTATCAAATAACCACTTAAGTTTTCCAGTTGAAAATATCATCAGAGGGGCGCCTGGGTGGCTCAGTCGTTAAGCGTCTGCGTTCGGCTCAGGTCATGATCCCAGGGTCCTGGGATCAAGCCCCGCATTGGGCTCCCTGCTCGGCAGGAAGCCTGCTTCTCCCTCTCCCACTCCGCCTGCTTGTGTTCCCTCTCTCTCGCTGTGTCTCTCTCTGTCAAATAAATAAATAAAATCTTTAAAAAAAAAAAAAAGAAAAGAAAATATCAGAATTGTGAGAGAAATATGCTTATTGATTGACTATATTTTAGTATAACATGCTGATTTCATTGAAATTGGCTAATACAAAATTAATTCTAATTTAGCATCAACTCTACATCTGAACACCAAATGGAGGGTTAAGTATTACTTATGATTGCCATTATAGGTTTTTTTTTAAGATTTTATTTATTTGACAGAGAGAGAGATAGTGAAAGCAGGGGGAGTGGGAGAGGGAGAAGCAGGCTTCCCGCTGAGCAGGGAGCCCCACAGCGGGGGCTCAATGCCGGGCTCGAATCCAGGACCCTGGGATCATGACCTGAGCTGGATCTTTAACAACTGAACCACCCAGGTGCCCCGCCATTATAGGTTTTAAATAGTGACTAAGAGGGGGGAGAGAGAAGGCAGCAAAAGAACAGGAATGAGAGAGACAAAAAGAGAAGAAGACTGCTATTTATTTTTAGGTGATATGCGGGAAATATTGCCTGATCCTATTTCAGTGGAGACTTTTAGTTGTGTTTTGCGTGTGTGTGTGTTTTATTACCATTTTTATTGCTAAGGAATGCTTTCACAGGTGGATGGAAAGGGGTGAAGGGAGGATTTCTGAAGGAGGCTGAGTGGGAATTAGTGATAATTGGAGAGTAAACAGCACAGCTTTGGAGATACTGTGAAAATTATTCAAAAATCTGAGGAGTTTTTGAGTGAAAAATATGTAGATGTTTTCATAAAAAATATGAATATGATAATTTCTTTAAATGGTTTCTTGTTAATTTTTAAATGTCCCTATAAAATTATCTTTATATATATGAGTTTGTCAATTTTATACTAATTTATTTCAATAGCTTTGAGGTATAGAGATAAACGTGCATTCAAAATGATGCCTTAATTAAGGAAAATGCTCCAATGATGTCCTGAATTGTTTCAGATTGCAACAAATCTTGATGACGTATATCACTTTATGTGTGGTACATTTTTTGGTGTTCAGCAAAAGATTTTGTTGAAAGAAAAAAGTCTGTGGGAAATAACTGTGGAATCACTTAGATACCTGACAGAAAAAGGACTTCTACAAAAAGACGCTATTAATAAGTCTGAAGAAGAGAGCCAGTATAGTTTTCATATTACAAAACTGGGGCGAGCTTCTTTTAAGGGTAAGAGTTTACCTAAGTTACTGAGGAAATGTGCTGGGAAAAAAATGGAAATTAAATCATTCTCTTTCTTTAAACTGGAACTGTAGTTTCATATTAATAGCATTAATCTTAAAAGCTATTAGACTACTTTAGCTTTTAAAAGTTGAAAAATGGGGATGCCTGGCTGGCTCAGACAATAGAGCATGAGACTCTTCATCTTGGGGTCATGGGTTCAAGTCCCATTTTGCTTGTAGAGCCTACTTGAAAAAAAATTCTTTTTTAGTAAATAAAAAGTTGAAAAAATGTTGGGTTTTTGGTTTGGTTTTTTGTTTTTGTTTTTTTAGAGAGGGAGAGGAAGGGGCAGAAAGAAAGGGAATCTTAAGCAGGCTCCACCCCCACCATAAGTCCAACTTGTGGCTTGATCTCACAACCCTGAGATCATGACCTGAGCTGAAATCAAGAGTTGAACACTTAACCAACTGAGCCAGCCAGGCACCCTGAAAAATATTTTGAATTACAAGTAATTTAGGATATTGCAGGAGTATTTGGGAAAAAAGATGGTCATCCCACTTCACACACCCCTCCCCTAGCAATCATACAAATCTTAATATCCTACCAAGAATAACAATTTGGTGTATGTCTTTTCAGACATTTTATGTACATTTCATTTCAATGCATAATACATACTTGTATACAAGTTTAAGATTTTTTAAGCTTTTGTTTTTAAATAAACAATCATTTGTATTGTTCCAGAACTTGCTTTTTTTGCTTAATATCTTAAAAATTGTTCCAGGACAGTGAAGTTTTTTCTTAATGGCTAATCATAATTTACTTAATGAAAAATAATACATGTGTGTTGTTTAAAAAACAAAAACCTTAGATCTCAGAATGATGTAAAGGAAAATCCCATTCTCCTGTCCCATTTCCACTCTCCCAGGGCAACCACTGTTAACAATTTGATGTGTATCCTTCCATATATATTATTATGTACTTAGATAAGTATGTATATGTATATTATATATGTATATGTGTATATGCATATTTGTATGTATATGTGTATAGGTTTATACACATACATTCATACACATTTATATATGTTATTTTATAGTTTATTTTTTAAGATGAAATCACAGTTGTAAGTATTTTTTGGCAGCTTGCTTTTCTCACTTAAAATATTAGGAGCATCTTAACGTGTCAGTCCCTTTAAGTCTACCTCATTTTTCTTTTACTACTATAATCACCCATAGTCTGGGTACTGTAATTTAATTAACCATTCCCCTATTGATGGACATTTGCACTGTTTTTTTTTTTTTAATTTTTCTCAATTATAAACAAAGCTGCAATGTGCATCTCTATTTATGTGTTTTTGGGTGTGTGTGGAAATGTTTCTCTTAGATTTCCAAAAACAGAGTATTTGGGTCAGAAGGTACATACTTATTAAATGTTGATGTATACCATCAAAATGACCTCCAAAATAGTTGTGCTAAAATACATAAGAAGAGATTTTGGTGGGAGGATGGGTGAAATAGGTAAAGGGGATTAAGAGTACACTCATCATGATGAACACTCAGTAATGTATAGAATTGTTGAATCACTGTATTGTACACCTCAAACTAATATAACAATGTATGTTAACTATAATGGAGTTAAAAAAATTAAGAGATTTTGAAGACATTTTGCTATGTTTAGGTATAAACAAGACATTTTTAAGATACCTTTTTCCCCCTTTGGTAATTATGAAAGATGAAATATTTGATCTTTCTTTTAGGAACTATAGATTTGGCTTATTGTGACATTCTCTACAGAGACTTGAAGAAAGGTCTCGAAGGACTTGTGCTCGAAAGCCTTCTTCACCTAATTTACCTAACAACTCCCTATGATATGGCTTCTCAGTGTGTCCCTGACTGGATGATATACTTCAGGCAGGTGAGAATATAAGGTTCTTCAATATAGGCTATTTTATTTATTAATGATGATGTAATTTTTGTCAAATGATTATTCACTTTTTTTCTCTACTAAAATATATTTGAAACTGGGCCTTTCATGTTTCGGTTTTTAAAATAGTTATATGGCAATGGCATTTTCAGTTTGTTTAACTTAAATATTACCTTCCTATTAAATATAAACATGTTCATTATCAAAAAAATAAAGAAAGGTGCAGAAAAGAAAAGAGGATCATCCCTGGTCCCATTCCCCAAAGATAGTTACTGTTACAGTTTGGTGACTGCTCCATTTTGTGTTGCCTAGAATGTGAAGAAAACCATGGAAGCTGGGTTTTTTTTTTTTTTTTGAGATTTTTAATTACATGAAAGCTCTGTCAGAGCCAAGCATGATGACTAAACCCAGTGATGTTAATACCTGAGATGTCAGTTTTATCACCAACAGGAAGGTGCAGCTGGTCCTACTTGTTACAAAACCAGGTGGTAGAATATAGTCTATTATGATTTTACTATGAGCAGGGCAGATACATGAACACATGTTAGGCAGAAGCAGTATGCAGCTCTTAATTGTAGGAAATTAACTTTCTTTTTAATGTCATATTTTAAAATTGTAACTTAAGTTTTTAAGTGGTACTATATAATGCAGCTACTGTCAAAAGCTTTCCTTCTTCTTCCTACCCACCAGACGTATCAATATTAAACATAACCACAAAGTCCATGGAAACCATAGTCCATAGTCACAGTGCTTGTGACCATGCCTTTAAGTATTCTACTAAAATATGTTATATTTTAATAATACATTTTTAAGCCATGAAAATGTGATATCACAGGAAATACTGGATTTGGTTCAAATGGCAAATTTTTAAAAGTTACAATTTGAGGGGCACCTGGGTGGCTTAGTCAGTTAAGCGTCCTACTCTTGATTTCAGCTTAGGTCATGATCTCAGGGTTGTGAGATTGAGCCCTGTGTTGGGCTCCATACTCAGCAGGGAGTCTACTTGAGATTTTCTCTCCCTCTCCCTCTGCCCCCCTACACGCTCACTCTCTCTCAAATAAATGAATATTTTTTTAAAAGTTACAATTTGATTTTTCTCTATGTTTACTCTTTTTAAATGTAGTTTAGCCAGCTCAGTCCAGCAGAACAAAACGTAGCTGCTCTTCTTGGAGTCTCTGAAAACTTTATTGGGAAGAAAGCATCAGGTCAAGCTATAAAAAAGGTACCATAGTCTTTTTCTCTTCCTAAATAAGTTGATTTAGCAAAATTCATGCTGTTGTATCATCTCTTTTGTTGATTTGATCTTTTTGTTTCGTATTTTTTTCTTTAAGTTAATATGATTCCCATTTTACCATTTAAAACATGTGAGGACCAGAAATTTGGGCATTTTTTTTAAAACAGTATTTTTGGATGGTGTAATGGCCTTTTTTTGTATGTGTACTTTTGCATTTCTGAAACACTTTGTCATGCACATATAAGCTTCTTATCATAGGAGAAGGTAAACCTTATTAATCAATTTTTCTTAGGCTACTTATGACTTACATTATAAAAATTGTAAAATTTTGGATGCCTGGATGGCTCAGATGGTTAAGCGTCTGCCTTCAGCTCAGGTCATGATCCCAGGGTCCTGGGATTGAGTCCTGCATCGGGCTCCCTGCTCCTTGGGAGCCTGCTTCTCCCTCTGCCTCTCTCTCTGTCTCTCATGAATAAATAAATAAAATCTTTAAAAAAATAAATAAATAAAATAAAAATTGTAAAATTTTATAAAATGTTTTTATGATAGTATATAATCCTGAAATAAGTTTAGTTCAAGGGAGAAAAATGTATTTTCTAGAACCTTTTTTTTTTTTGAAGATTTTTATTTATTTATTTGACAGAGAAAGAATGAGAGACAGAGAGCATGAGAGGTAGGAGGGTCAGAGAGAGAAGCAGACTCCCTGCTGAGCAGGGAGCCTGATGCGGGACTCGATCCCGGGACTCCAGGATCATGACCTGAGCCGAAGGCAGTCGCTTAACCAACTGAGCCACTCGGGCGCCCAAGAACTTTTTCTTTTTTTTAAGTAATCTCTACACCTCATGTGGGGCTCGAACTCATGACCCCAAGATCAAGAGTCACATGCTCCTCTGACTGAGCCAGCCAGGTGTGCCACCCCCCACACCTAGAAACTTTTTATTAGGCATTCTACTTGGTGTTAGAGATTCTAAGATAGGGTGGGTTTGAGGTTTTCATTGCTGTTTGTTGTTCTTAAAGAACCCCCAGTCTAGTTAGTACTTGAACTACATAAAACTGTAGAAGGTTGAAGTTGATAAATTAATACTCTTTTGTGTAATATTCTTATATTATGGTGTTTTGAAGTTTAGTCAACAAATATGAAGCAAGTGTCTAATACACTAACTTTAAGAGGAATGGAAATAGGGGAGCCTGAGTGGCTCAGTTGGTTAAGTGTCTGCCTTCGGCTCAGGTCATGATCCCCGGGTCCTGAGACTGAGCTCCATGTCAGCAGGGAGCCTGCTTCTCCCTCACCCTCTGCACCCCCCCCACTTGTGCGCTCTCTCTCTCTCTCTCAAATAAATAAATAAAACCTTTAAGAAAAAGAAAAATGGAAATAATTTTTTGGCAAACTTGCCTTCAAATTCCTTAAGTTAATATCATTTTCTACCTTATAATACACTTTTTTTCATTTTTCATTTTGTTGGTAATCCAATCTTTATTGAAACCTAATTATCTTACCTGCCATTTCCTCCATATCTTTAAATTTACATAAATATTACTAATTTCATTTTTGAAAAGTGAAAGATGGTGTTTACTCACGTTTGAATTGAATGATGCCCTGTCCCATGTACTGCTATATCATAAAATTATAAATGTCTATTTAGTAGTTCAGTGTTCATGTTATCACAATATTTTGATTGGGTCTTTAACCTCAGAAATGCCTATGTTGTTTAGACATTCAAAATGTTAAATAAAAATATTTCTTAAAACAAACCTTTTATATACAACTTTAAAATAGAAAATAAAAACAAGGGCGTCTGGGTGGCTCAGATGGTTAAGCGTCTGCGTTTGGCTCAGGTCATGATCTCAGGGTCCTGGGATTGAGTCCTGTATCGGGCTCCTTCCTTAGCAGGGAGCCTGCTTCTCCCTCTGCCTGCCACTCCCCCTGCTTGTACTCTCCCTCTCTCTGGCAAATAAATAAATAAATAAAATCTTTAAAAAAAAACAAAATCATCTTAATTTGGAACTCATTACCAAATAATAAAACATTTACAAAATCTTTTTAGAATAATGCATCTTTTTAAACTTGAATTAGAATTTATTTTTGTTAATGAAATATAGTCAATAAATGTTCAGTTGATTTAGAGAACATGATATTTACTTAAAATCAAATTTATTTCTCAAAATTGAAAAAGACACTCCCATTTTTCTTTAAATATTTCTTATAAAAGATCTTGAAATTGGTATAAAGCATCTTATCCTGCCATGTAATATAATTATATCATTTTTCATGGCTTAGAAAATACATTCTAAGCAAAATCTACATTGACTCAAATTATAGTTAATAATGAAGGTGCACTAAAATTGGGAAATTAAAAAGCAATCTCTCTCCCTACTGGCAATTCAACTATCATGATTTTTCAGCTTAAAGTTTTTTAAAAGTATCAACATGTAGAATCCATAATTCATACAGTCTTTGATATGCCACTGTAAGTTCTCATCCCATTCTTTTACTGTCATAGGGGATATAATTTTATATTTTATACCCACTTTTTCTCCTTCCAGTTCATCTTTTCTTTCCTCTGATTTTAAGCATGAGTTACTCAGTTTCTAAGTTAGCTTGATATTGGCTATGAAATACTTTGCACAAGAACTGGTCGCTAGATACCGCAGGCAAAAACAGGTACACAGTTGTCAACTACAGGTAGCATTTTTCTCTTCCAGTGTTTTAACTTTGGAAACATTAATTATTTATCATGACCATGTAGAAATCATAGAATCTAATATTTACTCTTAGTTTACAATATGGACAAGCTTATTAACATACCTATCTACATAAATGCATTTGTCTAATTACATTCACAAATAAATCCAATCTATAAATACCACAGTAAATGTAGTCTTCCCAACTCCTTCCCTTCCTATATTCTTTTCCTAGGGCTACCACAACAAATTAGCTCACCAACTGAGTGTCTTAAAACAACAAAAATTTATTCTCTTGTAGTTCAGGAGGCCAAAAGTCTGAAATCAAGATGGCTCCTTCTGGAAGCTCTGAGGAAGAAAACATCTTGCCTCTCTCTTAGCTTTTGGTGCTTGCTGGCAGTCTTTGGTGTTCCTTGGCTTATAAATGCATCCCTACAGTGCCTCCATTGGACATTGCCATCTCCACATTGCTTCTTATGTGTGTCACTCTGTGTCCTCTCCTCTTACAAAGACACCAGTCACTGAATAAAGAGGCCTAAAGGGTCTACTCTACACGCAAGATGATTTCATCTCAAGATCTTTAACTAATTACATCTGCAAAGATCCTATTTCCAAATAATGTCACATTCACAGGTACTACCGGTTAGGAGTGAAACATCTTTTTGTGGGGGCAGACATGATTCAACCCACTACAGCTTCCCCTGTAGAAGGAAGTTTAAATTGGAAATAATTTGGCATATTTTCTTTTTTTTTTATACTTGGAAAAATGATAATCTGAATTAATCTAAAGTACATATGGTAGAACTTAGTTTTATTTCTGTGGAATCATTCTATTCTGGCTTTCCTATAGTATAACTTCATTCATATTACCTTTTGTCCGATTTCAATATAATGTACATTTTTAGCAGGTCCAGTACATAAATTCATTTGCTTGTGTCTTTCTAGAAGGTGGACAAGGACATTGTCAACAGACTATACCTGTCTTTTGTTCTTTATACCCTGCTCAAAGAGACCAACATTTGGAGTGTGTCTGAAAAATTTAATATGCCTCGAGGCTATATACAAAGCCTTCTCACTGGAGCTGCCTCATTCTCCTCTTGTGTGCTACATTTCTGTGAGGTAATTCCATTAACTACACATGCCTTGTGCATCTTTTTGTTTTAACTGCTACTAAACTTGTAAACCAGTTAGTCATTATTTCCTCATTGTTGACTTGTTCTATTAATGCAAAGCACTCAAACCTTATTTAAAATATATTTATCTGCTTATAAAAGTCCTATGTACTAACTTATGGTAAAGATACAAAAATGACAGACTCACCTAAAATATATAGCAAGGAGGTAGAAAGCACCTACTTATCCCTACTCTTAGAACCACCATTAATAGTTACTAGTATTTGGAATCGACTCTTAAAACAACAATTCTCCATCGATGTAGATTGTGTGAGAGTATCTTTCTCATGGTGATAACCATGGAAAGTGTTTGATTAGTGCATCACCAATACCCAGCAGCTACCTTGCCACTACTTGGAACCATGCTCTCATGATCACCACAGTGTTTTGCCATTTTTGAATCCAGTGTCTGGCAACTGCTTTAGGTTTCTATGTCAGATGTTTAGCTTATAAAATAACTCAAGAAGAAAATTTAATTTTGGCCATATGCATTTGGAATGGATTTGTGTAAGACTTTACTAATGTCTTTACTAAAAGAAGCTTTCAGAGTTTCCTTAAATAACATAATAAAGCTTACCAGACTTTTCTACTCGGACAGTTTTGGGGATGAATTTATAATATAAGCCTTTTTTGGCTGCATTTAAATTTCTTCTAATTGAGTAGTGTAATAATCCTTTCCATATTTGTTTCTATACTCAATTTTTTAAAAAACATTTTTCTCGCATGAATTCTATTTTTAAATTTGAATCTTCATTTTCCCTATCTTAAATTTCCATATTCCATATATGTATATGGCACTTAATTCTATCATATGTACTAATGAGTAAATAATCCAAAATACTTGACTTTGGGTTGAATGATAATTATTTTAGCAAATTCACATTTCTTCATATCTCCTACTTACGCTAAGTTTTAAATATTAGCTTACATTCCCTAATCATGTGCTGCTAGCTAAGCAGAAGACAAAATTTATAGGTAATAAGAAGCTAGCCTTTAAAATGTATTTTCTTAAGTTTTCTGTGTTTGTTTTTCTTCATATTTAAAGGTACTTCCCCTAAAATTCTATCCCTTTGTTTTACTTAGGACTATAAGGATTTCAGCCTTTTAGACTTGTTCAAGTAAAAGAAACTATATTGAATTTGAAAAACAACTATAATCTGATGGTTATTCCTAGAAACAAGCTATCTGACAACTTGTGCTCTCATGAGTGTATTTTCAGTATTTTAAAGTGTTTTTTTCTTCTTAAAAAGCTATGTAAGTCATATGAAATAGTACATTGTGTTGGCTAAGATGCCTTTAACTACAAGTAATGGAAAAACCCCATAGAAGTTTAAACAATAAGGAACAAAGATGATCATGTGGAACAGGAAAGCTAGAGCTAAGGCTGTTCAGGGTTGATGGATTCATCGTTCTGGTCAAGGTTTTCTTCTCTTTACTCTGCCATCTTTAGTGCATTGGCTGCTTTCCTAGTGGTCACAAAATAGCTGGCTAACGCTCTTCCATATATCACGTATGCTCACAGTGACACCCAAAGGTTAGAAAGCGACTTAAAAAAAAAAAAAAGACTACTACAGAAAATTTCAAACATAAAATAAGACAAAATAATATAATAAATGCCCATTTACCCACTCACCTTTAACAGTTATTGACCCATGGCTTCCAATATTTTTATTCTTAAATATTGCTTCTAATATTTTTGTTGTTTTAAATATTGCTGCATCTTGCATTGGAATCCTTCCACATGTAATATTTTGCCTTCAGGATAAATTCCCAGAGGTGGGAACTGTTTTCAATTATTTGGGAAAGAAAAACTATGCATTCACTTGCTGGTGTTTTGATAAAAAAAAATGAATAGAACTCTTCTCACTGGCTTATTTTTCAATTTTCAGTCTTCTTCCTCATCCCAAAACCAGTTTGTCAAATTCCTCAGTCTCTGCCCTTGTTTCCTTGTAATAATTTTGTGTGGAATTATTGTTCATCTCTGGCTTAACCAAGTTTCAGAACTTACATCAGGGAACACCCTCTCTGAGCCCCCTACCAAGCCAACCAAACTTTGAAATAACTTACCAGATTTAAATTCTGTGCATTTCTTTGTGTTCTGCAGGAACTTGAGGAGTTTTGGGTTTATAGAGCCCTTTTGGGAGAACTCACCAAGAAGTTGACTTACTGTGTAAAGGCAGAGCTAATTCCTCTCATGGAAGTGACTGGAGTTTTAGAGGTTAGTAGCTTCCCAGTTTCCCAACTGAGGTGATTTCAACTAACAGAAAAATCAGGTTTTACTATTTTCTGATGTCTTATCACAAGGTAAGTAACAACAGCCTTATTCCTCATTGGTCACGAGAGAGTGTTTTTTGTTGTTGTTTTCCTCTTTAAATAAATTGTTATCATGGCCTCCCAGAAGTCCCCTCTAAATCTGGATAAGTCTTGATGAAAAAAAAATCACACTTGTGAAAAAAAATAACAGTAGGGATAAAAGTGAGACTCCCCAAATATATGTGTTCTACCATTCATCCTTAGCATCTCTTCCTTCCTCCACTACAATGAAGAATTATCTTCTGAAAGGTTAAACTCAGTGGTTGTTTCAGGAAGTGGTGATTCGGGGGCAACAAGGCTTATTTCCACTTCCTAAGAGAGTGAGAAGAAAGTATCCTCACCTGGTTTCTCAGCTTTCTTTTTTTAGCCAACTGTTGATTTCAGCTTTTTCTGTTATTCAGTCCTTCAATCAGAAGCATTCTTCTGCCTGAGAACACACACACACTCCAGCAGGTCCCTGAGTAGATGGTGAAAACATTAAGGATATTGGACTGGAACATCTTGATTGGGCATCTAAAATAATGCCCCTCACCTGAGTGCCTTAATGGATTTCTCACTCCTGATTGCAACACACATCGGTTAACTTAAGCTGCACAGAAAGCTGTCTTGCAGTCAGATTGGAACGACCCAAATTCGTCTTTTAAAATTTCTCAGGATTCGGATGTGTTATCTCTTCATGTTTATTATTACCTTAGTCTGTTTCTGTCTCTTGCATGTGAAAGTCTTCCCTTCAGTAAGACACTTGATTATTTTTTCCTAATCCCAAATTCTGACCCTGCTGATTTGTGTAATACCTTTCAGGGTCGAGCAAAACAGTTATACAACGCAGGCTATAAAAGTCTGATGCACTTAGCTAATGCAAATCCTGAAGTGTTAATAAGGACACTTGATCATTTATCAAGACGCCAGGCCAAGCAAATTGTTTCATCAGCAAAGGTAAGCCAACAAACCATTTTTTACCCTTCATGATATTTTGTAGTGTTATCTCCTTATACTTTGGACATAAAAGCAAAAACATCTAACTATAGACACAAAAGTGTATACTCACAATACGTGGATAAAATAGGCATCTGTTACAATACAAGGCTTGCTAGAAAGAGAAAAAGCACCTCCTAAAAATTAGGCAATCTTAAGAGTCCCCTGAAGTACAGGGAACTCTGGAACTCACGGAATTCTGCCTCCTCACCCTCTTCACAGAAGGCCTTTCCTCAGCATCCCTGACATCTGGTCTTCCCACCTTTGTGTGCCTTCATTGACATGGAGCTTACAGCCTCAAAAATTAGGTAGTTCTATTTTTGGACACTCTTAGTGTTCCAAAAAGCACCCCAATAAACTGTTGCCTTCTTACAGTGTCCACCATTAGATTGTAAGTACTATCGTCTAGAACTAGCCTATTTTCCTTGTTCCTGTGGTAGTTTTTCACATATTTGAAAAAGGCTCTCTTTGTCTCCAAGCGTTTCTCTTTTTTGTTTCTTTCATCCGTATTAAATAATCTAGTTTTAGGCAATTTACTATCCTAGTTATCCTTTTCTAGATGTGGGCCAATTTGTCTTTTTGACCTGTCCCCATCATTATTGGATTGTCTTACTTTGGGGTATATCTGTCAGGTTCTAATTCTTAGGAACAGAAAGCACACAATAATGTGAAGAGGAAAGTTTAATATAAAGAATTAGTAACAAAGTTTACTAGTCAGCTTTGTTACAACTTTGTTACAAAGTTGTTACAAAGTTACAACCTTGTTACAAAGTTACAACTTTGTTACTTACTTTGTTACAACTAGTAACAAAGGTTATTAGTCGGCTTCTAAGGGGTAAACAGAACTTCAGCAACCGTAGGAAGGAATAATGTGAAGAGCGTCCACCCTCACCCCACACCACCCCCTGTGGATGGGCGTCATACTTCATCGGAGAGGCTTCATCAGAGAGCGTGTGGCTGTGGCTCAACAGACAGCAGATAAGTTCCTTGTGTCGCAGCCAAGGTTGAAGCAGGAAGCCCTCCAGGATGCTGACAGAACTGCCAAGAAGCTCCCTGGAGTGTGCTATGGAATTTGCTTGGAAGCTAGCTTGAGTACCCATGGAACTTGCTGGAAAGCTGTCTGCAGGGATGCTGTTGAAACTCACTGTAATGAGGGCCACCAGATCAGCATACCAGACTAGCACTGCAGGAGCCCTAAGAAAAAGACACACCAAAACCAGGAGAAGCCCCTTCTCCTGCAGTGCTTCCAGTGCCCTCTACTGACCAAGCTGGATATTGTACCGGCTGGCGAAGGAGAAGTGTTTACAGGATCCAGCTCTGGTATCTGTCTCCAGCAGGACGATGAGGGATGGATTTGGAGCTGAGAAACAATAAAATTAATAACTAGTTCTCTCTTTGTTTAAATAACTAGTACTCTTGCACAAGATATTCCATGTTCAGCTTGCCTTAGTCATGGAATCAGCCGTTTTTCCAAAGAGCCCCAATTCTTTCTGGTAAGGAAACCCAAGTTTGAGGGGTTAAGTATGCTCACAACGAGAGAGATATCATTGTTTCTAGGTTCTCTAAGCAGAGAGAGCCTGTATAAGCCTGTATATTTTTCTATACTTACATATAAATTATTAAAGGCCATGAACTCATACTGATAACTCCAATTCTAATTTTTCCAGGTACATACTGCTGCATAACAAAGTTTTACATCAAAATTTAGTGGTTTAAAACAGCTCTTTTATTTTGCTTATGTTTTGGTGGATTAGGAATTCTGGAAAGGTTTAGCTGTGTGATTCTTACTTGGAGTCTCATGCAGTTACAGTCAGATTTTGACTGGGGCTATAGTCATCTCAAGGCTTGACTGAATTGGATATCCAAGATGGTTCACTCACATGAAAATTGGCTGCTACTTAGGGCTTTCAACTAGAGCAACTACATATGGCCTTTCCATGGGGCTTGGATTTCTTATGGCATGGCAGCTCAGTTTCAAGAGGAAATGTCCAGAGAGTGGACATTTTGAGAGATCGAGGCAGAAAAGGCAGGAAATATTCTGAACTAACCTCAGAAGTTAAGTAGTGTCACTAGAAGGCCATTAAGATCAGCCCAGATCTAAAGGAAGAGGAATTAGACCCCACCTCTACATGAGGGGAGTGCCAAATAATTTGCAGTCATCTATAATGTCTGCCCTCTGGTCACAGATTATTTACATTCCTCCCACATGCAAAATTACTCATCCCTAAAAGATTTATCCCTTTATGGCTTCAGACTCAGGCTCAAGGTCCAGTATTTCTTCTAAATCAAGCCTAGGTGCAGGTGATGCTCCTTGAGTACAATTTCACAGATATATTCCTCTCACTCTGAAGATCTGTGAACTAAAGAGATACAATGGTGAACAGAGACAGGATAACCACAGTAAACTCCCATTCAAGAAGAGGGAATATGTGTGGTACATAGAAGCAATTCTGATATCCAGCCAGGCATATGTGGCCAGTTCCTTGATTAGGACTTAATTCTCCCTGGGAATGATTCTTCCTGGCTTTGAATTCCCTCATCTGAATCATTCTTTCTTTCCCATAAGTAATGGCCCTTGTTTGCAGCTGGGTAGCTTTCTCAGGCTTTTCCCTGTCCAGGGAAGTTCAAGCATTCAAAAGTTCTTTTTATTTTGTATCAGCCCTGTCCCCTTTTATTCAGTCTGGTATAATTTCTTTTAAAATATTATGTGTTTCTTATTTATCTATAGCTTAGCTTTCTTTCTTTTTTTTTTTTAAGTAAGCTCTGTGCTCAGCGTGGGGCTCGAACTCATGACCCCAAGATCAAGAGTTGCAGGCCCTACCAGCTGAGCGAGCCAGCCAGCCATCCCTAGCTTGGGTTTCTTACAGCATGGTGCTGGGATATGCAAGGGAGCATTCAAGAGATCTTGGAATGGTCTCATTCCAAGAAACCAACGCAGAAACTGTAGTTTCTTTTGACAGACCCCTGAAAATCATGCAGTATCATTTCCACTAACATTCTGTTAGTTACAGGTTCAAGAGAAGAATTAGATCCCATCCATCAATGTAACATCAAAGAATTTCCAGTCACCTTTAATGCACACTGATCCCACACTACAGGGCTCACTGTAGTCTTACCTCTTCTCATATTTTTAATTCCTTTCTCCAATAGTGAGAAACCCAGCTCCTGTCTTCATCAACATAGTCATCTGTTTTGCTCAATCCTAGAATGCACTGAAAATAATTTCTGAATTGTTAAAGCATACTATTGCAAAAAAACTAAGGAGTTCAGTATTATTTACAGCTCTTTTTGTCTTTAGTCTGAGAATATATAATTGAAATAATGTGTTCAAATGTTACTTTTCTAAAAAATCTGCTTTACTGTGGTTATGTAATTCATTTGAAGAGCAGTTAGAGTCTGTTTGTGTTCCATTTTAGTTCCCCCATCCTTATGAATTTTTTTTTAGTATGTAAAACATGAACATATTTTCTTTATTTTAAATTGAAATAGTTTACTAGGATATCTTTATTTTCTTTTATTTCTGGAAGTTTCCTTGGATTGTAGTTTTATTTTTTTTAATTTATTTATGTATTTGAGAGAGAGAGAAAGCACACACATATGCACGTGTGAGTTGGGGGGTGCAGAGGGAGAGAATCTCAAGCAGACTTCCCGCTGAGCATGGAACCCAACCCCAGGCTCGATCCCATGACCCATGAGATCACGATCTGAGCTGAAGCCAAGAGTCAGATGCTCAACTGACCAAGCCACCCAGGCACCCTAGATTGTAGGTTTACATATTCAATATGATCCACTGTTTGATTTTTTCTTTCTTAGCAACTCAATTATATGTATGTTGAATCTTCTTTGCCCATCTTCCATTTCAATCTCTCTGGCCCTTTTTACTTCTTTTTTATTTATTTATTTATTTATTTATTTATTTATTTATTTGAGAGAGTACAGGTAGGGGGGCAGAGGGAGAGGGAGCGAAACTCTAAGCAGACTCTGCACTCAGCGCAGAGTCCAATGCAGGGCTTGATCTCAGGTTCCTGAGATCACGACCTGAGCCAGATGCTTAACCAACTCTGCCATCCGGCCGCCCTTTTACTTCTTTATTTATTTCATTTTCTTTATCTTGTTTTCTTGCCCCACCCCTGTTCCTGCTCCCATTACCCTAATTAAGTTTTATTGTAATCTATTCTTCTTTGATCACTTTGTTAGTTTTTATTTCTAATATGATTTTGCCTGTTTCTTCTAATTCTTGCCTGAGCTTACTCAACTTTTGTTTCATTTCTTCCTGTTCTGGGTCCATTTCTGTTCTTAGTTTGGGACTTATTGAGGATGTGTTTTTCCCCCATATCTCCAGATGTTTATTTGAGAATATTTAATTCAGTTTGGAATGTTGCATCACAATTTTTCTGCTTCATAGTTTGCTTTCAGAAGAATAAATTTTTATGAGCTGGAGAGCTTTGATTCTCATTTTCTGTTTCCTTTTATATAGTAATGTAGTATAATAAGAACTGCTTATGCCCCTGCATTTCTCAGACAGAGATGGCCATCTGGAGTGGCTGATGAGAATTCTAGTTCAAGAGTCTCTCTTCCATCAGTGTAGCAAAGGATAGTTTGGGGTGGGAGAGGAGTGCAAAGAAAAGCGTGTTCTTTGATTTTTTTTAATTTCCTTTTGTCCTATAGGATCTGAAATTTTACCCTTTTATTTCTTTTTCCACTCCCTGCTCAGCCTAAGGGGCTCCTCTCCCTTTTTACTTGTCTTCTCCCCCAGAGGCATTACCTTTCCAACACTGCCTTCTAGAGTTTCATGCACTTTAAATCCCTTCTTATAGACAATGCTTCCATCTACCAAGAGTCTTTTCTCAGTATTTTTATACTTGGGGTAGCCTTTCTCTATCTGGAGGTGATTGTATTTAATCTAAGACCTGTTTCCCTCTTCTCCTTCCCATGTATTTTTTTCTCAATCTCACATTGATCTCTGCAACCCCTTGGAGTGGGAGCTTGAGAAATGGTTCTGCTGGAAATTGGCAGGTATTTGTACTATGATATGAAGGTGATGGTGTTCTCTGTATTCTAGTAATGCTGGCCCCGTGGGTTTTGTGCAGTATACTTGCTGTTCTCGTTGATCTGTATAGTTTTTGGAGGATGCATTGGGAGATTAGTTTTACTTGGTCACCATTACCTCAGCTACTGGAAAGCTTGCCTCATTGCATTTTAATCTCTTCTATTTATAATGCTATGTAATGCTATGCTTTATGTCAAATGGATAGAGTGGGTTTTTCACTTTCATTTTGTATCCTATGATTTTTTTTCTCTATGTGATTTTGCTGAACTTTTTGTTATAAAACTTATGTAACAGAAGTAATGTACATACTGCACCCCAATATACACAACACCCATTTGCAGCAAACACCAAAACTGTACTTCTGGTTTTTTGTTTTTTGATTTTAAAGTTTATTTTTTTAGTGATCCCTACACCCACTGTGGAGATTGAACTCACAACCCTGAGTCCAAGAGACTCTACCAATTCAGCCAGCCAGGCACCCCTATTTCCAGTTTTTACAAGAAAGAGGGAAAATCATTACTCAGCAAATATTCCTTGGCATCTACTATGTGCCATATTCAGAAATACTTTCTTGACTCATTATGTTTCTTTAGAAATTAGCCATGTTAATTTTAGGAGCTTGAATAAAACTTTTCTTTGAAACACTGATAGGTTTTTAAAAGATAGCATACTAAACTTTGAGGAATAATAAAAAGCGCATATAAAGGATAACATTTTCAAGAGCTAATTAAATTTTTGCAAAATTGCCTTAAATTTTATAGATCAAAAGTTAATTTTTAAGTGGCTGAGTCTTCAATAAAACACATCTTTGAGAGTGATAAAGCTCCTTTATTTTTGGGATTCCAAATGCAGTGATCAGCTAAAATGGCTTTAGCTAAATGCTGCAGTTTCATTGACTATAATCACTTGTACTTAAGTGGCTATTTTTCAGTCTCATTATTAGTTTTAATGCCTACATCGCTGGTGTGTAAGGGTTCAAGGATCTAGTAGGCGGTGGTAAAAATGGTAGCAGTTCCTGGCAATGCATATTTTGGCCTCACGTCTTGATGTCTTTATTGTAGATGCTGTTGCATGAAAAAGCAGAGGCTTTACAAGAGGAAGTGGAAGAGTTGCTGAGGTTGCCTCCTGATTTCCCCAGTATTGAGGTGTCTGCCACTGAAAAGGCATGAAGCTGTCTGACAAGCATTTTCAAACAGGAATGATTTATTGTACCTATTTTTCAATTAAATATTCCCTATAATTTATAAATAAAAAAATACATTTTAATTATACATGAAGAACTGTGGATGATGTTTCAAATATACCTCTCACCCTTCCCACTAATAATCCATCATCTTCAGTACTTGCACATTATTTCTCTGCTCAAAAATCTAGTGTCCACAAAATGCGATCCAACTCCCTCAACATATCTCTAGCCTACCTTTGCAGCCAGACCTTTTATTATTCTCTTATACATTTTTTCATCAAACTAGACTGTTTGAAATCCCAGAATTTTCCCTGGGATTTCCAAACCCTTCATTTCCTAATTGTTTTATGCTATCCCGAGTGCAGGAAAAATTATCTTTAAAATGTACTATATGGGTGCACTCGGGTGGTTGGCCTAGTTGCTTGATCGTCCAACTCTTGATTTTGGCTCAGGTCATAATCTTAGGGTCGTGAGATCAAGCCCTGCATCAGGCTCCATGTTCAGCATGGAGTCGGCTTGAGATAATCTCTCTCCTCTCTCCCTTGGTCCTTTCCCCCACTCACTCATGCATACACACACACACACACACACACACTCTCTCTCTCTCTCTCTCTCAAGTAAATAAATAAAAAATATTTTTAAAAAATGTACTATATGCTTCAAATTCTCAAATACTGTCTCCCCTATGACATTGTCCACGTACATCCTCATCCCCACCCCACACATGGGTTCTTCCCCTCCTGTAAGTATTCGGAGCCCTTCATTATGCCCATGTCTTTTCTCATACTGGTAATTTGAAATCTCCTGGAGGGCCGAGACCTTTTTTATCATCTTCGTATGCCACATGGCACTTAGCCCAGTCCATCAAACAAAGTAGGGACCTGTGCAAAGAATGAATATGACCCAAATTAACAATTCAAAGATTCTCTTTAAACACAACTTGAATATTGCCTCTCCCCCATCCTTTTTAGATGTATAGCTCAAATATACACGGCTAGTTATCCATAGGTAAAAAGGTAATAACCAGCAATGTTTTTGAATGCTGGACTGACTGAAAGTTTTACTCACCTGTCTGAGATATCCACTGGAAACATTGCAAAAAATCCACAGTCTAAGTTCTTCGTGCCTTAACATTTTAGACTACACTATTATAACTGTCATTTACCTGGTAATTTCTATGTGCCAAGTACTGTTGTAAGGCTTTCATGTGACTAATTTAACCCTTATGACAACACTGTAGGGCCCATACTATTATTATTTCCATTTTACAGATGAGTAAACTGAGACACAGAGAAATTAAAATAACTTTCCTAAAGTCATGTACAAGTTAGTTGCAGAGCAGGAATTCAGACCCAGGCTCTCCCATCTAAAGTGTGTGCCCTTAACATTCATACAGTATTGTCTTAGTAGAATCCACCCATTTTATCCCCTCCTAAGTGTCCCTTTCCCCTGGCCTTGATCTTATCCCTAGCATCACGTCTCGTTCATTGACAGTCTGCCCTTCATGTGAGCCAAAGTATGGCATCCAATGTCTTAGTAAAACCTTGGGTTTCACTGCACGTATTGCACTTGTTGCAGCTAAAAAGGTTGTGAAAGAGCAGCTGTCTAGCCAGCTGGCCGCTCGGGCCCAGCCACTGAGGTGTGCTCACAGTGGTTCATAGTCCAGCCTTTGTGTTTTTTTAAATCTAGAAACCCCAGTTTCATTAGTCTGTCCAAGCAAGCAAGCCTGAAGGTGAGCCCCGATTCTTGCTAACTAATTTATAAGAAACTGAGTAGTAACCTCAATTTAATTTATTCTTATTTATTTTTAATTGAAGTATGGTTGACCAATTTAAGATTAGAGATGGCAAGATTGGGGAGGGGGCTACCTTTACAGAAACCAAAATAGCTGTATCAGCAGTCCAGGACAATTTCCCCCTGCCCTCAATCAAGGTTTCTCTAGGTCAATTCAACTAAAAGGCAATATGAAGTGTAATGATGGGGGGTTAGCCCTAAAAGATTTTAAAATGTAAAGAAATGGAAACACTCCAGCTCTAGAGAAGAAGGGAAAAGTAGATCAGTGGGGACCAGGTGAAAATAAAAATAGACTCAAATACATTTAAGAATTTAATATATAAGAAACATTTTTCCAGTTCAGGTGACAGAAATCCCTGTATATCTACTTTACACAAAAAGGAGTATTTAGTGACTACATTCTCAAGCCACAGCGGGGATAGAACTGGCCTGAGGACGACAAGAACCAGAGACTCAGTACCACAGGGACTTACCACCTCTTCTTCTTCAGGTGACTCTGGACTTCCTTATAGCTTCAAGATCCAAGCAAAAAGAGCTCTCTGCTGCCAACTCCGGGTGGAAAAGTCCCTGGGAGGGATTCTAATTGGTCCTTTGCCCACCCCTGTGGCCAGGGTGTAGTGTTTTGGTTTTGTTTCCATTTTCTCAGAAGTCTCAGGGAGAAGGGATGGGAGGCAGAGAAATCAAGAGCTAGTATAGGCTACACTCAGGTCCCAGTGGGTAAGAGCAGTAACTTCGTGAATCGAACTGGAACAAATGGCTACCTTATGATTGATTTAGAAAAACAGTAAGCTGAATTTCTACCCATGTCCTTAAACTAGATTAAATTTTAAGTAAATGAAAAGATTTGAATGTGGAGTCTTTGATGGTGTCATCTGACTAGGCTGAAGCTGCAAGACTGTACCTGCAGGGCCTTTACATCAGGCTGGAAAATGTTAAAATTTCAGCAATTCCAATGTGTTGTCCAGTTTTCCTTTTAATTTTTATGTTTTGGGGTCGGCGGCCAGGGGAAGCTATGAACCAGCTCAACCATTTCTAGGATGCTTAACTTCCCCAAGGTCTTTCGAATGTCCTTTTGATGTGTGCTGTCAGCTTCAACCATCACCACCACCAAAAAAAAGACTTTTCTATTGGGTAGGTCAAAGTTTTGGTCAAGTTTAAATCTTTTCAAACCCAGCTGCCCTCTCGACAAATATCTAAACTGATATTTTTTTTCAGGAAGGACTAATACAAGGCTCTCTTTGGCTTTATGCTTCCATGTGTAAGAACCTTCCCACAAAAGAATCGCTGAAGCTTTTGAACTACATCCCATTATGACAAAGGAAACACCAAGGATATGTAAGCATTGTTATACTTGGTTTTCTTTGACAATTTCCAGTCATTTATAATTACATTGATAAATGTATATTTTCTTTTGTAACTCTTAATGGAAATAAGGATGACAAGAACCTATCACTTATTGAGGGTTTTGTCACGTGCCGGCACTACTAAACATTGTCCGTGTGTTATCCAGATAATTCCTTTCGACCATCTGAGGTATACGTTATTTTTTACTCTAAATGTTACAAAGAAAGTGTGGCTTGCCCTGGATCACCCCATTAAGTAACAGAGCTTCACACCTGGATCATGCTGATAATTCTTTTTTTTATTATTGTTGTTGTGTTTACTTACATTATGAGCTACCCTACAAGTGTTTGGGAAGAAGTTGATCAAGATTGCACACTGAGCATATAATATATTTATATGTCTAAAATCCTGTCAAATGATAAAAAATAAAAATTTGATGTGATAAATTAGACACTTCATTTCCTTCATTTTGCATTTTAAAAATAGTCCTTTGAGTAAATCATTACTCAAGTGATATGTGGCCATGTGGAGTACTTGAAGATGTGGTCATTGTCTTTCAGGAGAATGTAAGTATGTAATGTGTAAAAACTTTGCTATGTAGAATTATAATTGTCACTCTGGAAGGAATGAGTGGTTTTGCTGTAGCTGAACCAAACATGTTAGATGATTAAACCTCTCCCAAAGTGAGATACATGCACAAAGCCTGCAGGAGAAGCTTCTAAGGGCCACACTAAAACAAATGAAATTGTCAGCCCCAAGTTAGTACACTGGTATATCTGGTGTTTAAAATTTGGTACATTCCACCTTCAAGTGTATGGTTTGTTTCTTCTGAGTATTTTTTTCTAAGCTTTTTTAAGGATTTTATTGATTTGAGAGAGAAAGAGTGTGCACCAGGAGGAGGGAGGGGCAGAGGGAGAGGGAGAAGCAGGGAGCCCCGATGGGGCTCGATCCCAGGACCCTGGGATCATGACCTGAGTGGAAGGCGGATGCTTAACCAACTAAGCCACCCAGGCACGCTGTTTCTCCTGAGTATTTTAAATAATTAACCTGTTTTTGTTGTTTTAAGAATTTTGACTTGGGGCGCCTGGGTGGCTCAGTAGGTTAAGCAGCTGCCTTCGGCTCAGGTCGTGATCCCAGGGTCCTGGGATCGAGCCCTGCATCAGGCTCCCTGCTCAGTGGGAAGTCTGCTTCTCCCTCTTCCTCTGCCTCTCCCCCTGCCTGTGAACCCTTTCTTTCTCTGTCAAATAAATAAATAAAATCTTTGAAAAAAAAAAAGAATTTTGACTCAAATACTGTATGTTTTCACTTATATGTGGAATCTAAATAAGCCAAACTCATAGAAACAGAGTAGATTGGTGTTTTGCCAGAGGCTGGAATGGGAGAGTAGGGGGGATGGGGAGATTTTGGTCAAAGGGCACAAACTTCCAGTTATAAGATTAATAAGTTCTGGGGATCTGTGTACAGTACGGTGCCTATAGTTAACAGTATGGTATTATATACTTGAAAGTTGATAACAGAGTGCATCTTAAATGCTGTCACTACACACAAAAAATAATTATGTGAGAGGTTGGAGATACTAACTTTATTGTGGTAATCATTTTGCAATATATATATATATATATATATATATATATATCAAGTCTTCAGGTTGTACACCTTACATTTATATATGTTATATATCAATAATACCTCAATACAGCTGGGAAAAAGTTTTTAACTCAAATGTGTATGATATCTGGTATGGTGGACAGAATTAACACCCCAATACCTTACCCCAAAGATCTCTACCTCCTAATCTTTGGAAAGTATAAATATGTCATGCTACATGGCAAGGGGGAATTAGCATTGTAGATGGAGTCAAGGTTGCCAGTCAGCTGACCTGGGGAAGGAGAGATTATCCTGAATTATCTAGGTGGCTCCACTGTAATCACAAAGGTCCATATAAAGGAA